CTGAATTAGTGGTTTAAAATATGGGGTGTTTGGCTCCAGCCTGCACAGTGGAATTATGTTTATAGGGACATTTCCTGAAGAAATATCTAAGGAAGTAAACAAATTCACATGGTGCCACCAATGCTGAACTCCACCTTCTGCAGTGGTCACTTTATGCAGGGCCTTCTTTTTTCAACCCAGATATTTGGTAATTACTTCAATTAAGTAGAGCAGGTAAGAGAAAACTCAAAGTATTTATGATTTCTTAAAAAACTTATGTGCTAGGTGTACTCAGACTGATTTTGCTGGAGCCTAGCCTAGGAACAGTAAGAAAGGGATGATAAAACATTTTTGCCTAATGCTTCCTGGGGTCAGCGGCATTCACCTTTTAACAGCCCTGGGATCAGCCCTGATACTTCAGGGATTTCTGAGAACCATCCTAAGGGATTTCACTATTATTTTGTCTTTGGAAGGGAGGAAACAAAGCGGCACCGGCAAAAAAACAGCCAAAACAGACAGGAAAAAAGAGAATTCCAACATAAACAATGTGGCAGAGCCCGAGACTGAAGTGCACCTCGGGATGTCACCCACTCCCAAGGACAGGGCCCGATGAGCTGCACGTTCAGTCACCTCCCTGAGACCCCAAGGACACCAAAGCAATGGCAGCAGAGTGAACACAGTGGTCAAGCCAGACTTACTGGCCCTGCAGAATCCAAAGGCTTTATTCCAGGACTCTAATTAAGACAGTTGGGGCCTAAAAAAACCCAGGGATTTGTAACATAAATTCTGTGTTTCCAATCAGCTCACTTGAACACTTAAGCTCTGCAAGCCTCTTCCAGTGTAAGTATTACACCCCTGTGCCAGTAACGCTCCTGAAACCACACCAGGAAGCCCGAGTTCCCAGATTAACACCTTAAATCTGAACCTGAAGAATTAAGAGTAGTTTCTCCTATATGAAGACATTTTAGAGGACCTGTGGTGTTTTACTGTTCTACTTCCTTCATCTTACTACCTCAGTTCAATTACTAACGCAATTGCAGCTGAAAAAACAAAATTGACCTTGTATCTCCAGCAGGCTCAAGTGAAACCAAGAATGCTTAAAAAACAGCCAAAGCATCTCAAAAAGCACCCTTTGCCTAGGACAGCACCTTCAGGGAGTTAATGGAGGATTGTGTCCTGGGAAACTAATTTGCACGTCACTTAAGAATCCAGCCACAGAATAAAATGGAAGAGAGTACAGAAATAAACACAAATGCAAGATGGACCTACACTTTGGATCATCATGAAACTTAGGGAGAAAACTGAACTTACAAACTCTTGAGATGGATAAAATATTGGAAAGAGCAGTTATAAACCTAACTGCCAGCAGCAAGCCTCCTCTAAGTTCAAACACTAGAAATCAGCTTGAGAACAGTTTTTATTATACAACCCAACCTTTCTGTGTTAAACAAGAGAAGCCCTAATGCACTCTGTGCACTCTGGACATCAGATTTTCAAGTAGCAACTTGCTACCAGAAATTATCTATTTTTTTTTTTACTCTTTGTTGAAGACAAATACGGAACAAAATCAGTATGTATAAGAACACCTGCAAGGAACCTGCAAGCTGACCTCCCCTGCTATTTTTCTTATACCTTTAGATTCCTTTTCCTGTGTACTGAGAAAAGCTGCCATTTTTTTACTAACTCGTTTTTAGGAAAAAGGCAATTTGCCATTTGCAGACAGCACCAGACCACGCTACCTCAGATCTTGGCTTTTTGCAGTAATTTGCTGCAGTTTTAAAAAAAATCCACCTTGAAGGTTGCCATGAACGGTGTCGTAGGAGCTCATTAAGTTGCTGGTTCGAAATTTCCATTTAACTTCTGCCAAAGCTCTCTCCAGTGCCTGTGCTTCCACACGGACATCTGACGGAGTTTAGACACAGAGATGAAAACATCCGATTACAACTCTTTATTCCGTTCCATCAGCTCAGCAACACACGAGCCAAACAATGTCTTCCCGCTCCTGGGGTTTCTGTGACTTCAGATCTGCCAGGTTTCCCCTCAGAAAACCTTGGGCTTGTTGCTACTGTACTCCTGATTTTTAGAAGCTGCCTCACTAGCAGTCAAATCTAGAAGCACTTTGCTTCAGAGATTAGAGAAGTCTTAATGTATTAGGCATGGGAAGGGCAAAAAATAGCCTAAGACAAACTGTCTTAAGTTTACAGAGATAATGAAGGGAATGGCTGGGAGGGAACACCAGTGCCTGCAGTGTTCCCACAGTAGTTTCCATTTACAGCAAAACCAGAAACTTATATTTCTTTTGTGTTTTTCAGTCTATGTGCCTTCCAGACTGACAGTGGTCAGAAGACCACAATCCAACTGCAGAGCTGGGCACAACTGAAGTAAATCTGAAATTAAAAAAAAAAAATTAACCCCAAACAACTAAAAACCCATTTGTTTCTACTGTGGGATTTTTTTTAGGCTTCTAAAAGCTAAAACTAACCATGAGGTTGCTTTCAAACAAGGAAACCTCCCTTTTGCTTAGAACACTCAAAACACATTTCCTCCCCAGGAGCTGCTGGGAACGACTTTGAAGTTGGATGCTCTGCTCCATTAATCAGGCCATCCCCACGTTCACATTCCCAAAAACAGGGTCTTCAGCTGTGCATGTTCCACAAGCTGCATCATTTTATCCTGAAGTCAGTGGGAGAAAGACTAGAACAGATTTTTGCAAGCAACCTGCATGATCAAGAAAAAGAATGATTACAAATGACACCGATGGCACACATTTTGCCACGAATCCTGAACTTCATAAACTCAGTATTATCCACTTGCTTGGTTAGCACTGCCTAATATTTCATCCCAGACCACCCAGTCTGGCAGAGCCTCCACTTACTGTATGATGAAACCATGAGGGAAGCTCCCAGATGCCCCAACTGCCTTCCCAGCTATCAGTATCTATAGCACATGTCATACTGTCAAAAAAACATAAAAATAGAGCCAAGCATTCTGCCTCATGATATTTAATAATTTGCTTTTTTTTCATCTCTCTGCAGGTCTCAAAGCATGTGAAGTAGGTGCCTGAGGCTCCGTAAGGCACCACAGGAAGACAAAGGCTCACCTCATGTAGGGAATTCCTCAACAACTACCTGTACTCCTTGGCTGTCTCTGCCCTTCTCGTCAGGCTGCACAAGTGATTCCACCTGCGAGCTCCCAGCATAAGGAGCCAGTGGGAAGAATGGCCGTGGACCACTAAATAAACTTGTGATTCTCTCAGTAAGCATCATTGGACACAAATTCTGTTTCCATCACAACAAATAATCTCAGGGCTTGTCAACAGATACAGCAAAGTCACTCAAGGGCCAGACACCACCACAGCAAAACTCAAAGGATTCTGCTCAAGAGAGAGCTCTCCAAGCATCTGTAGGACTGCTGGACACCACAGCTCAGCACCGAAACAGTTATCCTACAAGTTTTACACCTCAAAAACTTCTACCTACACAATGATGTTCACTTTCCTGAAACTCAACACTACAGAAACAAAATGCCGGGTGCGAGGACTTGTTGTGACGCGCTTGTTGCGTGCAATTTATCTCAGAGCATGTGGATAAAATGCTTCTTGTATCAACTTCAGCAGGGATAAAATGCAGAGTGCTGCCTGACCGGGGAAAAACCTATCAGCATCTTGGCCCAGCCCTTCCTCGAACCTATCAGACTCTTCCTTCCTGCTCAATTTTTAACCGAAATGCAGATGTACCACTTGAAAGCCAAACTGAGTTCAAAGAAAAGCCAGCAAACTTCAAGTGGACGTTTTCGAGGACACTACTCAAAAAAAAAAAAAAGAAAAAGCGGAAGTGCAGGTCCAGCTGAGGGGGTTACAGAATCAAAACCACCCAGCAAAGACCTGTGTGTGAGCACGGATGTAAATTAGGGCCTTCCAGCCTCACCTGGCCTTTCCCGGAGATACCTACCTGAGAAACCGAGCATTAGACAAAACCGAGTTATTAACGCTTCCCTGGGCTTGGCTCTGCTTTACCTGGAGTCAGGGCTGCTGGCAGCTGTGGAGGGGGCTTTGAACGACAGCGGGACACCCCGGGCTGTCCGACAGCCTTCACCTTGGCTGCACCTTCACCTGCTTTCCCTCACACTCTCTCCAAGACGACCTATTCCCACGGCTGGGAGCGCCCACACCTTCCCAGACACTCACCCAGTGCTCCGGCCTATCCCCAGAGCCCCATCCCAGGCGTGCCGGCAGCATTCCCACCGCCCAGCCCTCGCTCTCCGGGCTCCCATACCCATCGCGATACGGCACATGGCCCGCAGCACGGCGGCAGAGGGCACCTGCTGCAGCTCCCGGGCCTTTCCCTTCGGCATTAAGCCACACCAGGCTGGAAGGCGGCCTCTGGCTGCCGCTCCCAGGGAGCCTCCGACCCCCGGGGAAAACCACGGGGGGCAGCGGGGGCCGCTGCCCGCGGCGGGGGTGCCCGGGGGCGGGATGGGCCGTGCCCGCGCCACGAGGTGCTGACCCTTCTCCCCGGCGGTGCCGCAGGGCCGCGGGCGGGGGGAGCCGGCAGCGGGCTGGAATTATGAAACCGGATCATCGGGGAAACCCCCGGGGCCTCTCCCCACGCCGTACCTCGGAGACCTCCTCTTCCTCCTCCTCCTCCTCCTCCTCGTCTTCCTCCTCCTCCTCCTCGTCGTCGTCGTCGCTGCCGTTGTTGCTGCTCTCGCTGCCGCCGCCGCCGCTCTCGCTGCTGCTGGCCGGCCGGGCCGCCCGCCCGCCGCGCTTCGCCTTGCCCGGCGCCGCCTTCTTCTTCAGCAGGAGGTCGCACACCCGCACCAGCCCCGCCGCCCCGGGCCCGCACGGCGAGGGGGGCGCGGCGGGGCCGCTCGGCCCCTCAGGGGGACCGGGCCCCGCCGTGGCGCTGCCGGCCTCGCCGCCGCCGCCCTCACCGCCTCCCTCCTCCGCCGTCACCGCCGCCGCTACCGCCGCGCCGACCGCCTTCTCCATGGCCGGACAGGAAGGAGAAGGAGGAGGAGGAGAAGAAGGAGGAGGAGGAGTAGGAGGCGCCCGCGGCCGCCGCTGCCTCGGTCACCTCTAGCGCCGGCGCCGCCGCCGCGCCAACTCTCGCGATACTTCCTGCGGCCGCCGCTCGCGCCGCTCCCGCTCGCCTCGTGTCGCGCGCGCTCCCGCTCTGCCCTCGCGCGGCCCGGCCGCGAGCCCACGCCCCTTACGCCCCTCTCCCGTTCCCGGCAACCAGAGCGCGGCGGCGGCGGCGAAAGCCCGCCCCCCCTCCGCTTCCTTCCTTTCCTTCCGCCCGCGCCACCGCCTCGGTCACCGCCCCGGCGCCGGAACCGCCGCACGCGTCATCACCCTCAGCCCTCACCCCTCAGCATTCAGCCTGACCCGCCTCGGTGAGGGGAACGGCACCCCCGGTCAAGCCTGCCCCCCCGGGAACGTCCCCCGGGAGTGCCGCCCGGGGGCCTCCGGCGGGTGCGGCGGTGCCCGGTCAGAGCGGTCTGTGGGGGCAGCGCTGCCCCCCGGGCAGTGAGGGAGGGCGCGCGCGCCCATGGGCGGGAAACCCTCCTGAGGGAGCGGCCGGCAGGGACGGCCAACAACACCCACAATCCCGGTTAAAAGCGATGTTCCCTCGCACCCATGCGTGCAATTTGCATTAAAAGGTAACCTCCCAACTCCCCTTTTAAAAAGGAAACTGTTGGGGCGTCGCTGAAAATGTCGGAAAATAAATTAGTGCACGTGCGGTGGCGAAACCGCAACGCGCAGAATTCCAATTAAAGGTGATGTCCAGGGAATGACCGGACGTGGCACTCGGTGCCCTGGTGTAGACAAGGTGGTGGCCGGTCAAAGGTTGAATTCGATGGTCTCCGAGGTTTTTTCCAACCTAAATAATTCTGGAGTTCTGTGTTCTTCCATCCAGTTCGTTCGCACTGGGCACTGTGCATTCAAAGATAACCTCCAAAACCCTGTTTTAAAACAACGCTACTGAAAATGCCAGAAACATCAAAATTCCTGTGTGAATTCGGCCGTGTTCCTTTAATGACCCCTGTTAACTGTATCACTACACCACATTTCCTCCCTCAGGCCCCCAGCCCAGACTTTTCACCCTTAAAATGTCCTCAGGATATTAATACCATCACCTCCATTGGGGCAGATCAAGTCCTGCAGTAACAAAAGTTAAATGTGTTAAGCATAAATGTTAGTTAAATATATATATATAATATATATAATATACAGTTAAGTTAAATATGTCAAATATTTAAATTTGGGCAATCAGTGCATGCTCATTGGAGAAATGGGCTTTTTTTCCATTGTTTATTTTCAGACCTGTTTGAAATAAAAATTATTCTAACCACAGAAACGTGTTGGAAAGGTCAGTCATAACTAATGCACTGGTACACTACCGACGGTTTGGAATCGGTGTTTCAAGCCAGAAACACCAATTCCAGTTATAACTAGTCCAGTTCAGAAATGGAAAGAGACTGTCATTATTTGATTATTTGTTACCTCTTTTATTTGGCTGGTGTTGGAGAGCACCACTTTTTTTTTTTTTCGTTAAAAATAATGTAAATGCCTTGATTTTTACTGGCTTCTATTGGGGTACAAGCACAGATTAAGCATTTGCTATTATTATATATAATATATAAGATATTGTATGTGTTATTTAGCATTTATGTTGTACATTATTCGCTATTTGTTGTCATCACAAGAGGCAGAAAAAAGAACTGTAAGTGAGTATAGGTAAGCTCAGCCCTACCACCTGAGATTCACTGTGTGGTGTGACAAGGATAAGCCCCGGCTGAGATGGAGGAGTTATTACCAGCACCCCTTGTGTTGGCACAGGCAGCGTGGCCTGTCGGAGACTGTTTGTTCCGTTTCTTTTATGGGGTGACCTCTGTCCTGTTCAAAGAATGGCACCTCCTCACCCTGCACTGCAGAGCAAGGCCTTTTCCTCCATTTTTATAAGATCCCGTTTATCCCTGCTCTCCTTGCCACCCTCCTTTGAGCCTTCTGCGCTGGAATGTGTCCAGAGAAGGGCGAAGGGCCTGAGGAAGGGTCTAGAAGGTAAGTCATGAAGAGCGGCTGGGGGAGCTCAGCCTGGAGAACAGGAGGCTCCGTGGAACAACCAACACATTGAAAACCTCTTCTGTGGTGTAATTATCCACAGGGATCTGCTTTCAGTTTCATATACAGCTGCTGGAAGCAGTGTCATCGTCAAGGTCAGGAAGCAGGGGGAGTGAATTTGTTTGCAATTAATATAGGAACTGGAAAAAGTTTGTAACTTCTTGTATTTTTAACCCAAACTCATGGCTGCTACATTTGCCACAAGGCTACCAAGATGATTAATCAAATAAACTATAAAATTAATCCTAGACCCAAAGCCTGCCATTCTCACTGGTGAATGCATTGTTATCTTTGACACATACTGTTTTGCAGCTGCTGTTTTTATTCATATCATTCTGGGAATTTTGAAGCCCAAATTGTATTGTTTCAACACACATACCAAAGGGACTGGCTCACTGGACCTCCTTGATGCATAGCGCTGTCTCCCAAAAGAAAGGAAGATCCATCTGAAATCGGAGTCAAAATAAACTAAAGTTAGCCCACCATGAATTATTTTTAATGGAAATAATAAAATCAAAGTTGTTCAACAATGATGGACTGCTGTCCAAAGCAAAGGGAGAAAGAAGGAAAAAAGCACAAATGTCTCTACTTCAGCAAAGTACTGTTTTCTGGGATATACAATTTAAGATTTGTCTAAAACACTCTGTTCGAATACCTGTAAATTACATGTGGAAAATAATTATTAAAAGCTGATTTTATGTAGCCATGACATTTGCTTTAAATTCTATTTTTTTACCATCTCTATTTCTGCATTACAGCAAGGTTCCTGTGAGCGTCTCAAGTGGTGTGGCCTTGAGAGTAAAGAAAATGAAGACAATCCAGACAGACTGAGAATTCAAGAACAGTGGTGCTGGCTGGGGAGCAGTGCCTGGAGTCACAGCAGAAGGTAAATTTACATTGCTGTTACCACTCAAACTCTGCATTTACATTCCAATTAACACACAAACACACTGGTTCCGGATCACCTCTGCCTGCAGTTTGGTGTGGTAAGCCAGGTGATTCTGCCTTTTGGTATACTTATTAATCATAAATGCCACTTGCAAATACACATATATGTCCTGCTCTAATGTCTTGAGAATCATTTGTATTCCACCTCAAATACCAGTATTACATGTTCTGGTAGTTGCCCTTAAAACATTGTGCCAGCTTTGACCACTTCCTCACAGGGAGAACTGGGAAAGGAAAAACAAGTCCAGAAAGCAACACTTTTAACAATTGATTTGCTGAAGAAATCTGCAAGTGCTCCGTTAAAAAATAAAACATTTGTTCTGTAATATATTTAGTTCTTTGGGAGTCTTAGTTAGGAAATGGCTTGAGCACCTGAAATCCTAAAATGCGTTAGTACTCTGTGAGACTTATATTTTAACATGCACAAATGATTTTTCAAAGTGTACTTCAGGCTTCTAATTTGCTACACAGGCTTTCAAAATGTTTATCCTTTGTGAGTATAAAATTGAAAAACACCATGTCAAATTGAGGCAAAGGGCATCTGGGTGAGCATCTGGATTCTTTCTCATTCTCTTCAAATGCTGTCAGAGGTAAAAGTAAAGACAAGACAAATCATAAGATAAAGTGATTTTTTTTTGGTCCATTTTGTGCATAATGGATCTGTAATCCAAAAGTGTAAATGAGACCTCGCAAGCCAAAGCCACCTCGCCTGTGTTTGAATATCAAAGTTTATGTGTCAAATTAATATTTTGCTCTTGGAGGTTTGTTTTATTACTGGCATTTAAGGCAGCATCAACTGTGGACTGCACAGGAGTCAGCTAGGAGGTTAAACATTTCTTACACTTTGTGTTTTGCCGGAGTTCTACCAGTCCATAATGATAATTTCTATAGTAACCGCTTTTTAAGTAAACAATTGATTAGTTCTGAAATTAGTCCTTGAAATGGTTTCTCTTAGAGCAGCCTGGGAGATCTCAGTGCAAGCAGCCTTCTGCTGACATGCAGAACAACGAGGTTCAAGCTGTTTTTTTCTATCTTCATATAAAGTGTGCCTTGAAAATATTTATCCTCCCAGGGTAATTTATCTCTGGACATGGAAGGGAGTGAGAATCTCCGTGTAAAACTTGTTGAGACCTTGGATTCAGGGAAAGCAATGTAAGAAATGCCTGTGATATCTCCAAACAGCATGTCAAGTGGAATAAGAACATTTTTTTGCAGAGTTCAAATTAGAACTAGAAAAACTGTCTACAAGCTTTTAGTGGTCTATAATTCCATAACCCCCAGGGTCCCAGGGAGTCTCTGGTTTTCCAACAGAGCCTGCCCTGCCTTGTTTACTGTGTGCTGTGCTACTTACTGGCTCATGCTCCATATTGCTGGTTCCTGATCTGTGTTAGGGGGCAGTTGGGATACATTTTTTTAGAAAAAGATGAAAACTCGATGTTTCTGTTATTTCAGTTTGACTCAGTAGATGGAGCTAGAAGCTGGCAATCCACTCACAGCTAAAACTAGTCTCCCTTTCCACCACTGTGGAAAAGAAATTTTACTAAAGCTTTTGAGTCTTAAATGTATATGTCCTAAAACAGATGTATTTTTTCATTCTACAGTAAAAATAAAGTGATTCTTTTTGTGTGATTTATTTCAGCAGGCTATACAGGGATTTTTTTCCTCTATGACATTTACAATGCCATTGACTTTAATGCAAGATAATTACAACATTAGGAGCTGCCTTCAACAGCTTTGTATTCCTGAATGAGTGACCATTTCAATAAGGAGAAAAAATGCTGATGGGGTGAATTTTCCTTTTTGTCACTTGTCATTCTCTCATTTTCTCCTTCATGAATATGAATTAATTTATATTTCTAAAAGAGGAAGTACCTCAAAAGTCAGCCAGACATTTACCTGTAGCTGTCTGGTGAGTGAGCCTATGAGTGTGTTGAAAGGTAGGTCTGGATCTTTTATTCTCATTCATAAATTCTGATACACACAGACCCAGTGTGTCATTTTCAATTATAGACAAGGTATTAATTTCCAGTATTTAACATTGTGTTCCAGAGCTCAGTTTGAACACAAATTCCCAAGCTTACCTTCAGACATCGCTACAGTGTCTCCATGTTCACCAAAGCTCTTTAATGCCACTTCAGTGAACTTTAAACTACCTTGGATTCAGCAAAGCACTTCACATGTAGCCTTTAGGTACCTTAATTCCAAATCCTGCAGACCTCTTTGTTGAATAGTGACAGTCACTAGCCAGGAAAGCTGTTGAGAATTTTTGGAATGCTTTATCAGCATTACCTGGTATCTTAAGGAACTTCTCACCTTCTCTATTTCAGCTGTCTTTCTTTAGTTTAAAGAGACCGATGTGAGGACAATGAAAATATTTCTCAACAAGAGTACTTCTAAAAGCCTTACACAAATACTTTGCAATAGAAGCACCAAATAAATCCCACGTTAATTATTATTAATCAACAAGCCAAGTTTTCTCTCCGAGGACCAGAGAGAGCTGGTGTCATTTTTAGACACATCATTATCGCAAATTCTCTAAACCTGGCTCTTTCTTTGCCCACAGGAACATTAAATTTTTTTCTATTTCGTGGTCCACGGCCTCTCTGTGCAAATAGTTTGGTCAACAGTAGGTGGCAGACATATCCCACGTGAGAGCTTGGAAAAGGCTTCATCGGGCTAGTTCTTATGGAATGCTGGTACCTGTTTACTCAGGACACACCGCAGCTTTCCCTGCCAGAGCTCTCTTTTAGGAAAGGATTAGGCTTGAACATCAGTTTTAGAATCACCACTTGTCTGGTCTCTTTAAAATGATCAAGTCCAACCATTAACCAATAGGCAATTGCACCAATAAACCGTGTCAATTAGCTGTATCCAAAATGTTTCACTGGAAACATCAGAGTTCTGAAAAACTTTCATGAAATCAGTGGTTATATTTCCATATTGGTTCTGACAAACCCCCAGGGAAGCAGACCCTCTGCTTGAGGGATTTCTGTCAGATGATCCAAGAACATTTGTGTTCTGGAATGTCAAAGGATCCATCCCAAAAGTCTTTCAGTGCTAACAGCAATGAGGCTGCAGTGCCCAACTGTGCAGCAGGGCCTTGGTGACTGAGACTCGTGTTCAGATCAGGCTCTCAGCATCTTCAGCCGTGCTGGATTTATCTGGAACAGAGTCTTGAGTCTTGCCTCAGTGCTGCGCTCTCCCCTCTGCCAGTGAGAAATGTGGTTCAACGCCTAATTCGCACAGCTTCCAACTTCCATGCCCAGGGAGCCAGGAATCTGGCAGTCCTAGGCAACCTGCCTAGATCTGCACCGATTTTAAGGGAAGTCTCAATCCTGTTTGCATGGAATAGCTCCTGTGCCTGTACTGCAGACCCCCACTCTGTGTTTCCAGCACTCAAAAGTCAAGGAGAAAAGTCAGAAACCCGAGTTCACTCAGAAGTGAAGGTGCCAGATAAGGGCAATTCCAAATTAATTGTTACAATTGAATTTCCTGAGTTATTTCTGAGGCCTGTGGACAGGTTACAGATATGCCTGACTGGCAATATTGCAGCGCTGCTGGTATGAGCAGGAAAGGCCTTTGGGCAGAGAGCAAATATCAAGGACTGTCAGTGGGGCTGGAGGGCACCACAGAGGAACGGCCTCGGCCTGATTGATCCGAGAGACAACACTGAAAGCCTCGTGGGCAAAGAGCTTGGTAATATTTCTTTGCATGGCTTGAGAAGGATTCTCGGGTTCGTGTTCAAATTTTAAAAACCAAACATCATAGCTGGTCAGGCTGTGCAGAGCCACTGTGCCTGCTACCTTTTTATAGTTCCCTGGATGTGCGGGCCCATGTTTTTATTGCTTATTTAAGAGAACCACAGGGACCGTACAGATCATTGCTAACCTCAGACACAGCTTTTGGTCTCGGATGAGTCCTGATTCTGGGAATATACTGAGGAACCTCTCTTTTAAAATCAGATCTTTCTGAAGGCTTTCAAATTCAGGGAGACTGAATTTCAAATCCTAATCACTTGCCTCCTTTGAAAATCAGAGTTTGCGAGTACTACTCCAAAGAAAAACAAACAAACAAACAAAGCAAGCAACATTTCCTCTGCTTTGTGCTATTTTTAGTCATTTCCTTAACTCTGGGAATCCCAGGCTTCTGCTGTTACATGTCATAGCGTGACAAATCCAGGTAAAGGAGAACATAGGAAGGAAAACAGCAACCGGAAGAAAGACAACGTTTTGCTGCTGCTGCAAATCCAGTTCTCTTCTAAGAGATCGTTACATCCTGGTGATATCCCTGGGAATCCGACTCACAGTTAGGGCAGTACTGGACCTGGAACTACAAGCCAGAGCTCACCTAATAAATGCGGTCTGTTTGAATGCTGCTTGAAAAACTTTGAGCTGTTAAAAACAATTGGTATCTACAACAGAAAAGTACGTGTCCTTAGGTTTGACTAACTGACAGTTGTTTCTGAGGCTGAGACAAAAATGTGGAAGTACTTTACTGGGCTTTTGGATTTCACCTGGGGAGGCAGGAAGCTCCACATTTCATTCGTGGAGTCTCAGAATTCATTATAGCAGTATACAAGTGGATTATCTTTCTATCTCAGTGAGTGAATGACAGTGCCAATTTTAAAATGTCTTAATCTGCCTGCTCCAGTAACAAGAACTTAAAATGGCTTTACAAACTTCTATTCTCCTGCTAAGGTGCCACTTGAGTCCATGACTCTCAGCTAAAGAAATACTGAAGGCAGTAGGGAATATTTGAGGTAGAAAATGCTATTCTTGCTCCAGGACTTCATTTAAAATTACTATCTTTCCATTTTTCAAAGTTGTCAGGGTTTTATCTTCAGGAATTGTTTGCTCAGGAAGAGAGGAAAGAATAAGAAAAGAATCACTCTCTTTTCTCCTTAATGCTTGAGCATTTACAAGTTGTCTTAAGTAGATGAACTGGTACCTTCCCAAGAAAGAAAGCAATATTAAAAAAGAAAGCAATATTAAAAAACCTAAGGCCATAACAGAAAAAACAGCACAAGAGAACAATTATAGCAGCAACACAGATTCTGTTTCTATGGAGATGGACATGAAAGAGAAAATATTTATTTAGCTTGGCAGTTTTTAGGCCAGAATGGGAAAACTGAGAGTTTACAATGAAAGTAAATGAAAATAGGACAAAATAAGAGTGTCAGCACTGTCAGTGATGCAGTAATGTCAGGGGGGTCACCTGCACAGTAGCACAAATTTTCCACTAGTTCTTCAGGCCCTCTAGACATACAGCAATGTTTTCAACTCTGGAAGTGTTTCAAGTTGGGAGCAAACCCAGTGGGGCTCCCAAAATCGTTGGTTCATTTTCAAACTGCTTTGCTTCTGATTTTAGCAAATACACCTGCTTACACTTACAAGAAAAGTGTGTAGCCATGTTTTTAAATAGATTGGAGATCCTGGATAAATGACTTAAAGGAATTAACACAAAAAAAAACCTCCCAACATTTCCTGCTGTTCCTCAAAAGTTTTCAGTATCTTTTATTGTTAAACCCGAAGTGCATCAGACCTAGGGAAGAAATATTAACAATCTCCTACCAAACAAAAGCTTTCAGCCTTGGCTCTTGACTGAACCACGTCCCGTGGCTCTTCTCTCCTGCCAAAGGCCATCAAGCAGCACAGCAGAGCAGCAAAGAAATTGGGAACTGAGTGCCAAAAAGTTTATAGGGCACAAGTGAACTCACTGGACTCCAAAGGCCTCCGGGCAGTTATGTAAGAGGAAGAAAAAAGATCCCCAACGACAGTGGTATCGTGAACCAAACATCAGTCACACCACCACAGCCACTGGGGTTCCAGAGAGCAGATCAAAGGCTTCAGAAGGAACACTGGAGCAGGAGAACTCCCTGAGAAGGACCCGCTGAACTGAGCAACACTGCACCTCGGGGGGTTTCTTTGCCTCCCCTGTTTTGTGTTTAGATGCAATATTTGGATACGCCCGTACCAAAACATCACACTAGTTTTGTTTGAAGGACCTTGTAACTACAAATGGCTAAAAAGATCAAGCCACTGCTCACCTAGTTTGCGGATTACCTACTTGTGCTGACAGAAAAAAGAGTCTTGGGGATATGGAGAGAAGAGAGATATTCGATAAGTCCCAGAACATGCCAGCTGACACCCTCCCAAAGCACCGAAGGCTCTGAATTCGGGTACATTCAAGCAACTGGGTGCTTAATAGGCAAAGCAAAGCTGTACTTGTACCTGCTGCCAAAGGATGATGTTGGCAACTGGTACTTGGTAAGGAAAATAGCCACATCACCACACTATGGACTTTTGAGGCAAATGGGTAGGGATGGTAGAATTCCCTAGGGATCAAATGTATAGGGTTAGCAAGAACAGTATTCTAGTTGATTCAAAAATCCTTATTTTAATGACCAAGAACTCTGTAAAACTGCAGATGAGTGGCTGATACCCCAAGATGAACAGTTTAGCATCAGAACTGAGGATGTGCCCAGGAGATACACGTGTCCTGGAGTGCTGTTAGCTACACCTGAGCAGGGCTCTGCCTGTTCTGCCACAGTGATCAAACCCTTTCCATCTTCATGGTTGCTTGTTTTACATTGATGAGTCCATCTCTGTTCAAATAAAAGCCATATATCTGAGATCTCTGACTCATTCTACGTGGGAGCTAAACATCAGTGATAAGAATAGCAAACATGCACTAGAGCAGGGAAAAAAGATGATACCTGATACCTGTCCGTGTGTCCAGAGCTACAGACATTTATTTAGAAAATGCTGATCATTACAGTTATTAAAAAATGAGCTGCTGTCCAACGGAAAAAAGAAAACAAGCAAGGCTCATGTCTGTAGGCACAGGACTGGAAATGTGAGCTGGCAACACCTTTTCCAGCATTCCCTCACCTCCACCTGCAGACAGGTGAAAAGGAACATTCTTTTTGCTGGTTCCCTCTGCTTTGACAGAAGAAAGTTTTACATTTTGAGGAAGAAAAAAGATCACTGGCTGGCTGCCCTCCTTCCTGTTATCATGAGATATGTAAAAAGCCAAAGCAAAGCCAGGAACAAAACCCCCTCTGAAACAGAGCTTTGGTTACTGGCACAGTATGTCCTAGAGAGTCTCTGGGTTTGGTGTGTGCCTCGTGGTCCACTCACACAAACAAAACTTTGGGTCTTGAAAACAAAGAAGAAACAGCAGTAAATAAAATTGAGGGGGTTACTTGACGTTCTTTTGGTTTTGAGACATCACTTTGAAAAGGACTTACTTTCCAAAAGGGCTCTGGCAGTTGTTCTTATGATGATATATCACATTTGTTAACTCGAGCCGTTATAGTACATTTTGGTCCACTTCTTATCTACTCTTTCACTTAGCACAGGCTGGTATGATGGAACATTTAAAAATTGTGCATCCCTTTTTTCTCAGGTCACTTACTCTTGGAATTCCTGTTCTTTGATCCCCCACACCTGGAATAACACTAGTTACCACCTGTACCTTTAGACACAAATGTGTGTGAAAATGGATTCATCTTAAAATGCCATTGATGTATTCCTTTCTCTACTAACAGGACAGCTTTGGTGGAGTGTACACCACACAGTATGAAAGAATTGTGTAACAGGAAGCTCAGTAGAATATTTAATATTGTTAAACAAACATGAGCACTGGAGTTCAGCTCCCTCTCAGCAGGTATATGAACCATTGGCATGAAGTACAGGACAGACAACAGAAGATATCTAGAAATAAACATGGACCCTGTATTCCAAACTTACATATTAACTCTAGGGGACCAGGAGTGTTCTTGCTAACACTGCATAATGCTGCAGGGGAAAATTCCAGAGAGCTTTCAGGATGCAACATTTCATATTGAGGTTTTTTCTTGGCCCAAATTTCAGCTTTCCCCTCCAACCTTTGACTGTAGTTTTCTGGAGAGTTCTTTGGTGCAGCTTGAGAGCATCTCAAGAGCTGTTCCAAGTAATCACTCGCCACTGCCACAGTTTTTTGCCACTTCATGGTTGTCCACAAGACTTCTAAACATGTGTTTCTGTCCAACTGAATGCTCTGTTAAGATATGAAAGGAGATGGTTCTTTGATATATGGACAGTAAAATAATTACAGACTGAATCATTTAACCAGCTCTTTCCTGGCATTTTGTTAGGTTAAAGCAGCACAGGCCTGAAAAGTCCAAATTGTTTATCATAATTCCCATCATTCTGCAGGAATGTGGGATTTTGCTACAATTACCTGAAAGTAATCCCAATGTCTAATATTATGACATTCTAACATTGCTTTTCTGCCAGCCTGGCTTTCCCTCCACCATCCTTCATGTAAGAGGTATCCACATAACCTTTAATTCCCAAAACAGAGCCTTGTTCCTTTAAACCATTAACAGGAATGCTGTTCTTTACCCACAAAAATCTCAGGAGCAGACTTGGCAAAATACAAATCTCTTTTGAAACAGCAGCAGCCAGTAGAAATTCATTGTATCAAACTGTTCTGTGAACTCATTTAAGGTCCATGGGGTTATTCCTAAAGAACAGAATGGCCTTTCTGAAACACAAGATGCATTGCCCTGGCAGTTTCCTCAGTGGAGGTTGCCTTCAGGTATTTTAGGCTTAGACAAGTCATTTGATTTATTTCAGGCATGTTTAAAAGTTTGCTCTCAGGAATCAAGTGAAGTATTTTTTTAATTTATTTTTTCAGATTTCCAGAAAACTGAAAATTGATCTGTTCTTGCTACTTCCATTAGGAATAAAACAGGGTTAAAGCAAAAATGCCCAGCTGAGGAGAGAAACAGAGTAGAAAAGGGAACCTTAAGGACAAAGCAAGGAGCTGCAAGACAGAACACGACCTCCAGTTGTGTGGGTTGACATCCAGACACTGGGGAGCTAAATTCATGAAAATAAATCCTAGTATTCCCCACTGTGGAGCTACATCGCTTTGCGCTCAGTAAGGATCCAACCTTATACTTGTTGGGGTTTTTTTGAAGCCTCTCACTGAGTGTTCTAGAAAAATCATTTCAATTTTATTCCATGTCCGGGGGCTCTGTGCAAACTGCACAATTCTTCCTGTGTCTGATCTCCTAAGTTACTGACTAATCAATAGGACATTTTAAGAGAGGAGAGTGGGGCTTAATTAAGAGATTACTCTTGGGAGGATGTCAGTACAAAGGAGGAATTGCAAAAATTCTGAAATGACAGCCCTTGCACATCTACCCATGTGTTTGGCTGTTTTTATGGACCCTGGTGAGCAGCAGCACCCACAGAAAACCAGAACAGGACCTAACAAATCAGATTCTCAGATCAGCCCTAGATGTCTAGATGAGCCATCTCATCTTCTTAAAGTGAATTAAAATTAAAATTCTCTAATTTCAAGTGGACAAAGTCCTGTCTGGGTGAGTTGTTACTGTACAATACCAACCTGCTTTGCTTCTGAACAAATACCAGCAAAAAAAAAAAGGCTATAGGATTAGCCCTGATAACTTTTTTGTCTGATGCCTTGAACTCCTTGTTTGTCATTTGATAAGGAAATTTACGCAAAACTTTATCTTTTTGGGTGCTGGAAGGTTCGACCTCTTCGGGACGAAAAGGCCCAGAGTAACAACACCTAATAAATAACTAATATCAAATTCATTTTTGGCAAGGGCAGCCCAGGTTTTGTAATCTTCTTCGGGCCAGATGGAAATGTACAAATGCCAGCTCAAGGGTTAATATTTTACAGGCACAGCTAGTAAAGTGTATATAAGCACATGCTCTCCCTTCAATCTTCCTAGCAGTTCTGAGCAATTTTGCTCACATCATAATTTGAAACCATGAAGTGGTTAACGTTAATTTCCTTTATTTTCCTCCTAAGTTCGGCCAGATCCAGGAATCTGCACAGAGCTGCACGAGATGCAGGTAAGAAAGGACTAATTAGTTGTCTTGGGAGTCTTTGTTCTATCAATTTAATGCCTTTAATGCAGTTTGGCAAACAAGTAAGAGTTGGGTATCTGCAGACAAACGGACAAGAAAGGTTGCCTCAACCAAGTCTGAGTTGAATTTCTTATGCTCTTGACTATAAAAGTTGGCTGAATGCTGAACTCTTGTGACAGTCTGGCCTGTGGTGCCCAGGATGTGCAGCCCAGCCAGAGTGGCAGAGCATCACTGTTCTCTTTACTTTCCTTCCTAGACCACAAGAGTCAGATTGCCCATCGCTACAATGACCTGAAGGAAGAGACATTTAAGGGAGTGTAAGTGAACATTCAGCTTCCATTTTCTGCTTGGTTTTTTTGTCTCTGTTGATATTGTACCAAAAAGGGAAACTAAGACACACAGTATGAGCTCGTGAGGAGTGTGGATGTCTCACTGAAACACTGAGTTAGCCTCTTACTGTTACTGTGCAAAGCCTATGAATATTCTAAGACCTGCAAAAGTCATAATGACTTTCTTGCTCTCTGGGAAAAGAACTCCCTGCAAACCTTAGGAAAAACCTCACTTCCTTATGTGAAAATAAAATAGACATGAGGAATATAGGTTTGATATCCTTAGAATGAAGAGAAATTATGCTGGATTGAGACATTGCAGAAATATCACAAACAAACCACCAACCTCAAAAACCAAACCTGCAATGGGTTTTCTGAGACAGTTCAGTGATTTTTGTTTCAAACTGGATTTGGGAAAGGCAGAGGGCTCTGACAGGAACATAAGTAGTGAAAGAAGACAGCCTGAAGATCATAATTTGTAACAGTGGCCAAATCCAGTTTAGGTTATGGCATTTATGAATATGCTGGCAAAAGTGGCAGAAAACTCCAATCAACAGTCTTTTCTGGTTTATTCCTAATCTATTATTCAGGATTCTGGTTTTGGGAAGTAAGGTTAAAAACCTGTTCAGAAGGGAGGTGAGAAGAGGAAGGATGTGGGATCTGGCAGGATGCTCTTCCTGGTACCCTGGTTGACCTTTGTGCATGTCATTTGAACAAACAAGTTTAATTCAGAAGCACCTTTGAAAATCCTGACTGAGATGTTTCTCAGCTTCATATTCTCAACTGTGTTTTGTATTTCAGTGCCATGATCACATTTGCCCAGTACCTCCAGAAATGTTCCTACGATGGACTGTCTAAGCTGGTGACGGATATTGTTGATTTGGCACACAAGTGTGTGGCCAACGAGGACGCTCCCGAGTGCACAAAGCCACTGGTAGGCAGTGAATCCTTCAGTGTTGTGTTTCTCCTTGCTCTGTGCAGCTGCCAGGATCACCCTTGCTGAGGGTTTATACCTTAACCTTTCAGGTGTGGCTGCTGCCATCAGCCAGTGCTCAGCTTTTAGTGCTCAAACAAAGAACTTGGGTTTGTCGGGTTCTGAAACTCTGCCTTTCAGAAGCACCCAAATGATCTGTGGGACCTTATATTGGAGACCAAACACCACAGTTTGGCACATTAACTTTAGCATTGCCTGGAAAGAAGTGTTGGCATTTAGTACAAAATCCCAGCTGTAAAGTACAGGCCTAATTCTAGGTATTAAAGTGACCCAACCATGTGGGTCACCTGGATATTGGTTCTCCCTAAAGGCTTCCCAAGCTGCTCATTACATGGAATATTAAATCTTTCTTTGATTAATCTGAAAATTCCTTTTAGTTGGATTATAAGTAAAAGGAGATCACTGTCTTGCACAGAGTATTTTAAATTATAATTAATGTTTTTTCAATAAAGCATTGGAACGGTTTGGATATCAGATCACATAAAATAAAACTTCATAAGATTGCGTGAAAAACAGTAGATTATTTTGATTTATGGTCTAAATCTTAAACAGTACAAACATATTTGCTATTCAGCCTGGGTTTTCTTTTGCAGATAAATAGAAAATACATCCCCCTGTCTGTAAACACTAATCCTGACCCTTGGCATCTCCCTTGCAGCCCACCATTTTCCTGGACAGAATCTGCCAAGTCGACCAGCTCCGCGACTCCTACGGTGAGATGGCTGACTGCTGTGGGAAAGCTGATCCCGAGAGAAACCAGTGCTTCCTGTCCTTCAAAGTTCACCAGCCAGACTTCATTCCTCCATACCAGAGACCTGATGCCGATGTGATTTGCACCCAGTACCGGGACGACCGGGTGGCACTCCTGGGAAAGTAAGGAAAATGGATGCTTCTGCTTCCTTACACTTATTACATTCTCTCATTGCATGCAGGCTTTTCCATTCAGAATGGGGGTTAAGGGATCACATTTTATACACCTTGTGTGACTTTTCTTCTCCAAAAACCACTGAAAGCCCACAGCCTTTCAACATTTATTTAATAACTTGGTTACTCCAGCTTCCCACTTACCCCCATTGTAATTGGCAAGAATGAAGAGAGAGAACAGTACAAAGAATAAAAATTGGCAATAAAATCTTGGTGAAAGGGCCACAGATGAATTTTTCACACTGAAAATCAGAATTTTCAAATATTTGACAATGCATTTTTAAAAAAGCAGACATACATCAAGCCAGGTGGCAGACAACATCAGGAGTTCACCCTTCCCTCACTTTACTGAGTCCTGTGGGGTTTAGCAGAGCATTTCAGGCTTTATGTCAGGAAAGTAGATTGCATATCTAAACTGGGAAAAAAAGTTAGAGAAGCTTCAAGAGATTTAAGGCTATTTGCTGTTGTCCTTGGAACATGGAACTTAGGTTTTCCTCTTCCTTCTAGTTTCGTCTACACTGTTGCAAGAAGAAACCCCTTCCTGCACGCCCCAGCAGTCCTGGGCCTGGCTGCTGAGTATGAAAATGCCCTTAAAACCTGCTGCTCAGAGAGTGATATTGGCTCTTGCTTGGATGAAAAGGTACGGCAGATTTGTCTCTGTGGGTGGACACCAAGCTACTGAGGGAGAGACAGGCAGGATTTTGCTGTTCATGCAAGTCTTGGCATGAAGAACTTGCAGAGACAGGTCAGGAGTGATCCCACGTGTTGGGTGCGATCTGTTGAATGTGACGATGTGCCCCCTGTCCCCACAGGCAGCTGTCATCAAGGAGAGAGCCAAGCTGATCGGGGTGCAGCAGCAGCACGGGTGCCGCATCCTCGAGAAGTACGGCGAGAGAACCTTCCAGGCAAAGTGAGTTCCAGTCGCTCTTCACCTCTTTATAAAGAGTGGGCTTGTCAGCCTGAGAGCGAGGACTACGAAAAAGCTCAGCTGTGGGAGTTGCAGAGCAATGAAATTGTGTCTGGAACAAATCCAGGAGATGCAGAGTTAAGTGATGGAATGTCACTCAGAACCAGAGATTACAGTGTGTTTAATCCATATTTGTTCCAAAGCTGTGCCCCATTCCAATGCCCACAGCTTTTAGTGATGGGTCATCACTAATCAGCAAAGTAGGTTGCTAGTTTGAACCTTAAAGCAATGAGAAAGTCAAATTTGGCAGAATCACAGTTGTTAAAAGATTAAGAAAAACTTTTACAATTAATAAGTGAATCCCCTGCCTGAGCACAGAGAACTGCTTCTGTGACCAGCCTGGTACACCAACATTGACTAGGATTACCTTACAGATATAGTCAGCTTTGATTTAAAGTTTTAATCAGGACTGTATCCATCTGTGCCAAGTAATCTGGAGTGCTTTCCAGTCACTCAAGAGTGATGGGGAATTCTAGGGTGCGATTCTTACACAGGCAAGAACCACCAGAAACCTGTTTCTTTCTGGCTATTTTTAAGGAGCTGTGGTTTACTCTAGCAGCTGTCAATGCCTTTTTTTTTAGCCACCAGAAATTAGATAAGAAGAATGAATATTTCATTGGAAGAATCGTGACCTACCATATCACGTGTTGGTGACTTGCAAGGTTTCTGTTCCCCACACTGCTTTAAAACAAGGGTATTTTTCTCCTTTTCTACCCAGCAAACTTGCTCGCCTGAGCCAGAAATACCCCAAGGCTTCATTTGCAGAACTTGTCAAGATGGTCCAGAAGGTGAAGGGTGTCTACAAAGAGTGCTGCGAAGGAGACATGGTCGAGTGCGTGGATGACTGGGTAAGCTCACTAGTTCAAACAAATGCTTACATACTTGAAAAATGTTCAGACAGATAATAATTTGTGCAGGCATTCATGGTGCAGGGATTCATGGTGCAGGGAACTCACACTTGTACTCAACACTGCTGGAAGGTTCCTCAGGCACTGAAAAACTCAGGGTCAGCTCAGCTGTTACTGGAAGTAGGTTTTGGCCCAGTTCTGGATCTAGCCCTTAAGGATCACGAGGGCAAGGAACTGTTGCTCGCAGCAAGTGTGTTTGGCTGAAATCAAAACATTTATCAGGGAAGTTGTTTGATGGTATTTACTCCCTTTAAATCAATCATAAACAAAGGGAAAGGCAGCAGAGGCAAAAGGGCCACAATTTTTTTCCTGTCCTGTCAGGTGCACTGCCATTAATCCAGCTTTCCTGTAGTGCCAATGAATGCCAGAGAACAGATTAACAAGTCTGTGCAA